AGGATATGAAGTGCTTGGTTAGAGTGTGAAATCTGGTCAGCTTCACTGATGATAGTTCTGTCACCTGTATGTCCATCCAGTTTGCTTAACAGTGGTGAATTTGCTCAGCTGGATTAGGCCAACTATGTTTATAACCAACATGTATATAATCTTTTTGGATCACAACCACAATTCACACTCATACAGGTGTGTGTTTGTTTGCTGCCGGACAGCAAACTTGCACAGAAAAAACATGGAATTGTAGTACAGAAGAGAAGGCAAGGTAGACAAGGTTTTCATCACGTGTTGTTTTATAGAGAGGTTGGATAGCTTGTCTTTCAGTTTCAGAGTGACGTGCTGTAGCATGTAAATTAAGTTAGAATGCATCGGTATTAATATTCCACAGTTTGCACATTTGTTAAATACATTGTTGGAGCTCTCAAATAATTGCTCTACTTTTCAGTTTTTATTCTGTTGTAGTAATGGAGATGGTGTCGTCAATACATTGTTTTCAGGCTCATTTTAAGACAAGTGCTGTACATGAAGACAAAATCAGAGACATTTGTTGATATAAATAACCCATTTCCTGCCAATTGAAAGGGTTTCAAAACCAGTGGCTGTAAAGACTCCACAGTGTGTCATCTGCCTCTGTGTTGACTCTGACCTTGTTGTTTTGTGCCCATCAGAAAGTCCAGGTAGATCAGTACCCTTGTGGCGTAGACTTTCTGCCCTTTCCACTGGCTGGCATGCCTGCTTTTGCAGTTTCCTCAGAGGCTGTTTTCCACAGCAAGGACCAGCTGACCGCAGTGGCTGTGTCCGTGGAGAATGGCCACTCCATCGCCTTCCTGGGCACCAGCGCTGGGATGATTTGCAAGGTGAGAAACGTGCTGAGAACATGTGAGCTCTCAACTGGGGTCAACACCATGAACAAGACAGGCCGGCACCTTGAACTCCTGCCAGTTCCCTGTGGTTTAGTGTGACACGGTGATCGCTGTGAATGGATCTCTCTGGATACCCAGGATCTGGACAATGAACTCCACTTCCTTCTGCTGCTGTAGATACAGCCTGTCTTTCCCAGTGGGATGGTCACGTCCAATTCATGACAAAGCCTAGATGGTGACCCGTTCATCTGCAGGAATAGTGGATCTTGATCCTGTTACAGGGAAACAAGAACTCACCGTGCAGTTCTGTGTTGTTTAGACATAAGTTTATTAAACAAGACTTTTAATCAGCTCAGTGGGGATTCCTTTATTCCACATGACAGCTGATCTGTCCTCTCTCTCTAACATGAACATGAAAGCTGAGTTTCAACCCAAGCCACAGACCATTCTCTGCGCTGTAGCAAGGACAGGCTCTGTAACTCCTTCCTTCCTGTGCTGCAGGTGCATCTGGCCAACGTCAGCAAGCGGTACGAGAACATTACTGTGGGGAACACCAGAGTGAACAAGAACCTCTTCTTTGCCAAGAGCTGGAGACACATTTACGTCACCACAGAGAAAAAGGTAAAGTGTGTCTTTCACAGCTGGAAAATCTCATCCCAAAACT